TGTGAATGAAGCATGGGAAAAAATGAGAAAAACAAAGCCAAATTTTGGCTATACCTTGAATTATCAGTCCATGCCATTTAAAAGTGTACTCTCTCTTTTCCTGATATCCAGGGTTGAGTAAAAGAATGAGGAATACTCTTTCCTTAAACAAATCTGTAACTTAACCAGAGCTCTATTTGTGGTGGACAGAAATATTATGCAAGATGATAGGGAACTAGAATATTAAGATGTTACCTTTTTGCCATAACAGGCATGACTATTGCTAACCATGTTCTTGTGTTTCTCCTACAATGAAGAAGTACATAATAAAGCCGAAGTTTTCAGGCACTATCTCTATGGACAACAGTGGTTTCTACATATTTACTGTGCCAGCCTTGTTCTAATTTTAATGATCTCATTTGCCAGATATTGATTCCTATTATATTGCTCTAATTATGTACCTACACATTCTTGACCTACTTTACCTTCACAGGAATGTCTTCTTCCTGGCTTGCTTTCTCTGAGGTGAAGACATATGAGATCTCTTTGTGAGATGTGGTCTGGCGACAGATGGCACACTTAATGGAGCTTCTGTGAGACCCCACGCTGTACTGTTCAATAATTATAGAAATGCATTCATTACAGAAACAGTGTCCACAGGTCAATACTGCCCACTAAAAAGAAAACACAAAGAAAAATAAACCTTAGTGAGATGCTGTGAAAGATGCTTTCCAATCTAGAAATATATTAAAAGGAGAAGCAGGGAGTCACAGTTTTACTTCCTAAATATCTCATAACATTGATATTCTTTAAGTCATAAAAGCTAAGTTGTGCTTTGAAATTAAATATTTTCTAGTCCAAAGTAAACTTTCACAGTTTTTAGTTCTGTTCATCCTAATAGTGAGCATACCTGCCATCATCATTATTTTGTAAGTTGGCGTTCTTCTTTCAGTATTTAGGAAAAATGCAAATTATTCCTTCAGTACTCTAATAGCAAATATAATAGAGGGACTGAGAACAACATTAATTTGGAGATGATGTCATATTCAATATATTCTACTA